ATACAATAGAGATGCAGATTATTAAAATAGTCAGTTTTGTCTGCTTCAGGACAGTTAAAAATAATAAGTGTCTTCTATTTTCAATTTTTTTAACCAGAAATGTTCAGTTTTATTTCAAAATTGTACTTTATGTTTTATAAAATAAGTATTTAGAGACACTATAAGGATGTAAATGATTAAAATAATCGMTTTTTTCTGCTTCGGAACAGTTAAAATGAATAAAAGTCTCTTATTTTGTAATTTTTTTAACCAGGAACATGCAGCAGACAGAACCGGCCCAACGGCGAGCTATCCCGAGCATCTCAAAGACTCGTGAGGAGGAGATCCGAAAGATCCTGAGAGCCAACCTGCAGAAGACCCGGCAGAGGGTGAGGAMGGGGTCCGACGGGCCGGCGGTCGGGTCGGAGCCGTTTGTGACGCCGGGCTTTTCTTCTTCTTCTCTCCTCAGCTGCGCTCCTACAGCAGACACGACCTGTTCGACCCGTTTGAGGACAACCTGAGCGAGGTCCGGTTCAGGAGGCAGCGGGTGGAGATGGAGCGGAGGGTGAGCCTCGGCGCCGACGCTCAGATAAACCGAAACGTTTCGACGCTCTGAGTCTGAGCTCTGGTTTGTTTCTCTCAGATGAGTCACTACCTGACGGTTCCCGCCAAGCGGCAGGAGACGCCGTCTGTGAGGAAAGTCTGGTTCGAACCCGGTGAGTCGCAGGAACTGAGAGAGAGATCAGAGTGTCCATCTTCACAGAGGAGAGGATCTCTGTTTTKAAACATCAAACACAAAAAGTTACAMTTTTGTTTTGTCGTTGGTTCTGAGTTCCTGGGTTTCAGATGTTTTTGCACCATGAGAAAACTAAATCTCCCATCATGCTTCAGTCCTCCTGAAGATTTTTAATAGTTTAGATTTATTTTTGATTGATGGTTTTCAAAGGACTGACTGAAAGGTGAAGAAATTTGTCTGATTTTAGAAGAATTCTTCCAGGTTCTTTGACTTTTTGGGGCCAAAGAGGAGCAAATCTCCAACAAAAAACTCTGAAATTTTGAGATTAATTTCAGAAACTTTCTAGGAAAAAAAACAAGAAAAAAAAAAGGAAATTCTCTTATGTAGAAAAGTCGTACATTTGTGAGATAAAACTCAGATATTTCCATAATTAAAGGAAAAAAATGTCAACATTTAAACTAAATAATTTCTGACATGATGAAGTCCGAAATTTACAAGAAAAAAAAAACCTTGTGAACTTGTGAGAAAAAATCTGAAGTTTTCATGAGAAAAGGACATTTCCAGCTGTTTTCCTCTTTAATCTGCTCTAGTTTAAAAACTGAAACCTGGAATAGATTGATCGACGCTGATTGCAGAATATTTAAAACCATATTTATATATGAAATTTTAATAAATAATAAATTCTAACATGATAAATTAAGTTTTTTGGCAGAGATTTGCTCCTTTATTTTTTCTTCTGCAAAGTGGTGCTGATGCACCGTCATAGATTAATTAAATAAAAGATGAAATAAAGTAAAGTCACAATGCGTTGTTGTTGTTGTTGTTGTTGTTGTTGTTGTTGTTGTTGTTGTTGCATGTTTCGTCCAGCAGAGGGCACTCTGACACAGACTCACCGACTCGTCTCATTTCCTGCAGAGCACAAAGTTTTCACGTACGACGACAACAGCGAGAGCACCGGGGGCGGAGCCACTCGTCAGAAGCCCCGCCCTCCCGACGCCGTTGACCTCGTGGATGAGTCGTCGCGGGGAACCAATCAGAGCGCGGCGGAGGGCGACGAGTCGGAGAAGCTGAAGCCGTCTCGCTGCCTGAGCGACCCCGGGCCCATCACTGAGGAGGAGCAGGGTGACGAGGCCTTCCTGTCGTGACGAAGCACACCCATCTTTACAAACACACAAACAAACAAACAAACAAACAAACAAACAAACAAACAAAGCTTGTTTATTTATTATCACAAACTGATGAAGGTCGTTTGCTTCATCAAAGCACAAAAAAGAAGTGAAGCACAGGAGGCCGAGCCGACTGACAAACAAACATATCGGACCAAATGTGTGCCGGACCGGCAGGACCAGAGCTCAGGGACAGAACCAGAATCAGAACCAGAAGCAGGACTCATCATCTGCAGCTTTAACCAAACCTGCTTCTGTTAACGAACCAGCCTGTTGATTCCACTGAAAGAGAAACTGTGGAACGAAGGAAGCTTTAACTAAATGTAATAAAGTTTGTTTTTTCTGCTGAACGTGTTCCTGGAGACTCTAATTTACCTGCTGAACATCTTCACCTGGATTTGGTTTTTATTTATTCAGGTTTTTAACCCGACAAAGACTGGTTGTGTGTCAGGTTTCAGGCTCGGGGAGGATCGGGGAGCGCTCGCTCCTCGGTGGAAATCTGAAGAATAACAGGGAGTTTAAAGTCCCCGACGTGCCAACCTGCAGCAAACACCAGCAGCAGACATGGACTTCAGCGGCACCTGGAAGGTTTATTCTGAGGACAACCTGGAGGACTTCCTGAAAGTCGTCGGTAAGAATTAAAAAACTCAAAAATCTCTCTGGTTTTGTTGAAGCCTGACTGTGTCTCCCAGGGGCTCCTGAGAAGATTGTGAAAATGCGTAAAGACGTGAAACCGGTGATCGTGATCGAGCAGAAGGGCAAAGACTTCACGTACACGATGAAGACTCCYTTCTTCAGCAGGGTCAACTCCTTCACCGTCGGCAAGGAGTCTGAGATCTCCTTCATGGACGGCAGGAAGCTGAAGGTGACACGATGACGCTGAGCGGGAAACAATAAATGAGAATAAAGTAAATAAACTCGTGTTCTCTGGTCAGTGCACGGTCAGGGAGGAGGGCGGGAAGCTGATCTGTGAGACCGACAGGTTCACCTCGGTCCGAGAGGTCCAAGGAGACGAAATGATCGAGGTGAGCAGCTTCTCGTCAGCAGCTTTGATTATTCTTCTGCTAATTATCTGTTTTCTTCCTGCAGACGACCACGGCTGGTTCTGTAACCTTCATCAGCCGGAGCAAACGGGTCTGATCAGAACCAGGAGGCTCCTGAGGCCCTCTCTGAGCACAGGGGCCTCGTGGGATTTATTTATCATGAAACCTAATAAAGAAATAAACTAAATAAATAACATTTTATGATTCAAGGAGTAAAAATCTGAAAATCATTTAAGAAATGAATGAAGGCAGATCGATTCAAAACAAATGACTTTTTCTCTGAAATATGAATGAAATGTAATTTTTGTCTGAGTTTATAATAAAGTGCATTCAGAAAACTTTAAGATTTACTGCGATAACTTTAAACACAACCATGACGCACTCTCTCGAAGCAGATTTTAATTACAAGAGAAGTCAACATTTTTCCACAGTACTGTTAAAACTA